GAAAAAGGCAGTAGAAGTTGTCAGTAGTCTAGGAACATTTAAAACATTTCTAGGTTATTAAGTTCTTAGGGTACCCAAGAGAAATGAAAGCATATTATCTACATAAAGTCACATAATTCATAAACAATCCAAATGTCTATCAATAGGCAAATGCATAAAATAATTGTAGTATATTCCTATACTAAAATACTAGTTAGCAATAAAAAGAAATGAACTATAGATACAACATGAATGAATCTCAAAATAATGCTAGGTGAAAAGGTTATGATTCCATTTACAGAAAAATTGAAAAATACAATGTCAATTTTACTTTCTTAAAGCAATTTTGTCTTTAGCAAATACTAAGCTACGTAAGAGCATACCTATTTTCTAGTAGTATATGGCAGACAAGTGAAGGTCCCTCCCATAATCAAAAGGAAGGCTAGTTCAGTAAACTAGAAATCCAAATTTAGAAATGGAGCATAACTCTAAAAATATACATTTTATAAATAGCTTGTCTTAGTAATTGCAGTTTATGTTGACAATTCCAAAAATAGGTAACAAAAGCCATGTCTTCCAACTATGCACGATAGGTCCCACCATACCCCATTTTCCAGCACAGCTTTAAATAGTCACAGATATTTCATTATGTCTGGAGTTATTAAAACATTTACCCAATTTTTAATGTTTTCGGCATTTACCAAAGTATCTTCAACCTCAGAAACATTTTTTGACTAAAAAAATGTGTATACATGGATATGGGGATAGTTATAATAACTGTATGATAATTCTAAACTCTGAAAATATCCAAAGTAGATGGCAGTTTGGTATGCTTTGATTTTTTTTTTTATCCTCACCCGAGGACATTTTCCCATTTTTTTGTTCAGGTAGAGTGGGAGGGAGAGAGAGGAACAGAGAGAGAGAGAGAAACATCGATGTGAAAGGAACACATCGAGTGGCTGCCACCCGCACGACCGACCAGGGCCGGGGACAAACTGCAACCAAGGTACGAGCCCTTAGCAGGAACCGAACCCGGGTCTCTCAGGACCGCAGGTCGACGCTCTAACCGCTGAGCCAAACCGGCCAGGGCTTTAACTTTTTTTGTTGTTTTTTGTATTTTTCTTCATGTGTTTTTTTGTTTTGTTTTTTTTTTTTTTGGTACGTGCCCCTAGCGGGAACCGAACCTGGGACTCTCTATTCCGCAGGCCATCGCTCCAACCGCTGAGCCAAACTGGCCAGGGCTGCTTTGCATTATTTTGAGATTGACACTCTTTCTGACAGAGCGCTGGAGTTGGGTCTTTTGAAATTTGGATTACTTAGTAAAGTAATAGAAGTCATTATAGTATTTTTCAAATTATGGGATCTTAATTAAAAAAAAAAAAAGAGTATGCAGGGCTAAATCTCCCCCACCCCTTTTATGCAAAGATTTCAACCTGCCCACTAAAAATAAAATATTCAGAAGAAAACACCTAAGTGAATATATGATTTTATAGTCAATATTAGGACTTCAAAAAAAAGAGAGGCAATCTTAGGAAAAGTGTTCATTGGATTCTGAAACAGCTTTTCCATCATCTGCTAACAAGAAAAGACAAGGGGGGGGGGCAAATTCTTTGCTATTATTAAATTCAGGGGAAAAAAGATTGATGTGATTTTTTCAGAGGGCTGAACAGTGAATTTATTTTGCTCCATTGACTAAAACTATGAACACCTGAATCTCTTAACCTGTGTTTTACAATATCTTCAACAGTAATACTGTGGGTTTTGTCACTCATTAAGCCAGTGACTGACCCTGATGTTTATTACTACTCAAAGGAATGGAAAGTATACAATATTCATTAGTTGCAAATATTTATAGCTATAATTTCTATGTAGATTAAAGCAACTGTTTGCTCATTAAATAAAGGTATCTAATTACAATAGTATCTATTTTCTGGGCAGTTTCAAGAATTCTGATGAGGCCGCTTAGAGATGAGTTTCGACCTAGGTCTTATAAGGGAAACGGAAAATCTTAATTGGTAAGAGGAAGAAGAAAAACTCATGAGCAGAATCATGGCAACAACACAGAAGAGTGCACTTAGCAGAAGGAAGGAATTGGCTTAACGAGGCTACTGACCACAGACCATGAGCCAGGTTGCAGAGATTACACTAATCTCATAGGTATTAGGGAACCATAGGCATTAGGAACCACATTCTTAAGTACAAGAGAAGGTAAAAACATTCATACTCAGGGCAGACTATCTTTCCTTAAAGTACTGTTTCAGAAGACCTTGAAACATAAGCTGGGATGCATTCCTTTACAAAGGAGTAATTGATGTATTTAGAAAAAAATATATCTAGAAAATTAAGCATTACATACTCAATCTCATAGAGCAAAGATGATGTTTGTAACTTTAAAAAATTTTTTCTGGGAATAAAAATTGCTTTTGAAATGTAAAATAGTGAATAATCAAAATGATATTAAAAATTTTAAGCTCTCTGAGGTCAAGTTTCTCTAAAATTCTCGAACAAACCCTAATTAAGGTCATAATGCCCCTCTTTAACTAAGAAGATATACCACTGCCTTTAAAGTTCTTGATTTTTCAGAATTTTGCAACAACCTTACTCATATACTGACATTAGTTTACATGACCAGAGAATCCTACAATATAGACATGTCTTGTTAATCCTATCAGAGAGTACTTCAAGATAGCCTTTGAAATGAGTGATTTGTACACATTTTGAATTTGGGTACCTTCCCACATTCCAAAGTGAAGTATAGGATTATAAGATAACGACACTTGTTTCACATTGCTTGTTAACTCATCTGCACTAATTTCTATTAGGAACGTAAAAAATAAACTTTGAACAACAGTGCCTAGTGTTCATATTGAATGATCCATTGCCCTCTCGCCAGTGTTCCTCTACAGTACTACATTCTCTTTGTATGAGAATGGGAAGCTCTTCCTGGCTTTCTTAGTATCCTGGCAACCCTATCTAAAGCCATCTTCACTGAAAATATGACCATTACTTGTGAAATCTTTCCTGACACCTACCTTGAGGTCATCTAGAAAATATGAAGGATGAGAAAAATATGAATGCTTGTATGACACAAACACTCCCAGACTCCATATGTGAGCTACTCCAAATTTAACGCTGTACTGGAATTCCACACATTTACGAACATTTTCACAATTGTGCCAGGTAAATACATTGACAACTAAAACTTCTATAACAAATCAATATTTTATTTTCCAGCACATGTGAAGTTTATTTTTTTCTTTTTAAAAAACTATCTTTTTTAGGTTCCTTGCTTTTACTTTGACAAATCTAAGAAATCAACTCTCATTTTAATACTGAAAAATTGAATAGACTTTTTATTACTTATAAGGCTCACCTTTCTAAAGTTTGAGTAATAAAAATGCAACTAAGAACTTCTAATGAGAATTTTAATATGAGCAACAATTTACACTTATACTCAAGCATGATATAAAAAACTAGAAGTACTTAATTTATTTATCAGATTTGAAGTTTAAAATCTCAGGTTGGGGGAAAAAAACTATTTCAAAAGACTTTTGGCATGGAGGACTTTTTGCTTGAACCCAAATTTGAGTTAACTTCTAATCCTATGTTAGTTTCCACTTCATTTAGCACAGATAAAAGCCTTCTGTCAGAAACCCTTCAGAGAAAAAGCAAGGAAAAACGTCTTCCCTGTATAAAGACCCAAGGCCACGACGTTCTTCCCAGACAAATGTCGGTGGTCCTCATCACAAGAATGCCTGTGCTCTCTGCTTTATCAAAGATGACATCTATGAGTTATTCCCTTACTGATCTCTTCACTGATCTCTTGATTAAAGAAGGCATTAATGAGATGAAGAACAGCTTTTCCTCTCACAAAGTTAACTGGTCTCCATGAGGACGACATCTGACTCTGCACAGTGCTCCAATGGACAAGTTAACAGTATCCAACATGAGTGACATTCTGCCAACTCCTACTTCTGCAGCTGATTCTAACACAATGCACTTATTTATCCTAATGCAAAAGAGCTATGCACAATATAAGGTGTTTCATGGTTGCTTTTGCCACCTGAGGAAAGTGCAATGATCCCCTACCTCCTAATTCCTTCAAGTCCTATGAACTCTGAACACAGAGAATCTCTTTGGTTTCAAGAGTGAGTTTCTTCCCACAAGTCAGATAAGTACCTGTGTTAGACGAAAAAAATGGCCATAATCCTTCTCTCTAAATAAGACACCTTCACAACCAGTACTCCCTGGGGTTCATCAGGGAGAAACGTGCTGATAAAAGCTAACAAAGAAACTCAAAACACTACTCAGGGCAGATCCTTCTCTTTTTTTTAATCCTCACCCAAGGACATTTTTACATTTATTTTCAGACAGAGTGGGAGGGAGGGGGGAGAGAGAGAGACATCAATGTGAGAGAGACACATTGACTGGTTGCCACGACCCCAACCGGGCCGGGGACAAACTGCAACTGAGGTACATGCCCTTAGTGGGAACCGAACCTGGGACTCTCTGGTCCATAGGCCGATGCTCTAACCACTGAGCAAAACCGGCTAGGGCCAGATCCTTCTCTTATAGTAATCGCGATATTCTTCCTTTGGAATGTCCACTAGAAAGAATTTTTCCTTTTCTAACAGGATCATTATGACTCAGTAAAATTTCCTATATTAGCCTCCCCAAGTAAGTATTCGTGTTGATACTATTGAAATTATTAATTTAATACGACTTTAATGTAAAAATTAGACAGACTTCAAGGCTGACAATGTACATTTCAAATGTAGAATAAAAAAAAGACCTCCAGGGAATTAAAACGAATACTACCAACAATATAGGAGGAGCAAGAAGGGAGCAGATAGTGTAGACTTTCTGGGAACAGCAATATGAACTCAAGTATCTTGGTAGAAAGATGGCTCTAAGTCATACTGTGGGCTAATCTTCAGTGAGGACAGGCCCCTGGAGCACAAGCTTCTCTCCTTCCTAATATCTTTTTCAATTTTATGCTAAAACATCAGATAAGAGCCTACCTGACATTTTGGAGAATTTGCTGTGCTGGGATTGATATTCCGCATTGCCTAAGAGTAAAAAATAAGATGGATAAAAATTACTTTTAAGCCACATGGTTTGGCTATGTAGGCTGACTTACAAATTGCATCCAGACATATCACCATAGCACAGAATTCCCAAGCTAGCCCGAAGCAGCAGACTGAGGAAGACAGGAGCCAATGGCGTCACCACACAACAAACTGAAACCTCTCAAGTGTTGGACAGCATGGAGGACAGGACAGTAAGACTTTAAGTGTCAGGACTCAAAAAAAACTGATACTGGTCAAGTAGGTTCTTTGCTTCTGAATATTAGATGAAGCAGGAAAAATATAATTTGATATTTTAGTGATAAGACAAACTGTCAACGGAAGAAGTTCACAGGAAGCCGAAAGACTTGAGATATACTCAATTTATGCTGATTGCTAAAAAACAAAAACAAAAAAATCCTAAAATTATAGACTATTAGTACAAGAATAGAGCAGGTCTGTCATTTCAACGGAAGAAAAGGCAACACAGTTGGTAGTAAAGAAGAAACAGAGCAAGAAGTTACCTTTAAAGGAAGTAAAGCTATTCTGTCCAGGACCCATCACCCAGAGTAAAAGTGAAAATAAGACTTAGAAAAATTCTTTGGAAGGAAGGGTTTTATAAGGAGTAGCATTTTGCCCACCAAAACAACAACAAAAACACCAACAAACAAACCAGGCTGATCTATAGCATACAACAAAATGATGAACAGCCCATTTCTGAACTTTATATATAAAAATCATAAACATTAAGACTTTGACATTATTAATTCAATCATTTTTCCTAATAAGATTCCTTGGTTTACATAGTCTTCAATTCATATGTGAAACTAAGACTTGTATTTACTTAGACCATCCAGTACTCAGTAACAACAAAATAAAAAGCAAACAATGAAAACAGGCTGGGTAAGACATACTCTTAAAATTGTCATATTTCTTTTAATAGCTATGTAATTATATTCTTGATGGTGATCCCTTGTTCTCATGATGAAGTTTATTTACAAGAGAACTCTTTTCTTTATAACAATTTGTTGGAAAGTCAGTCAGAAATACAGTAAACTGGTTAATATGCTTCCTGTCGCCACCTTCCTAATGGCAGATAAAGACATATTTCTTCCAAGAACAGGTCCTGACATCATGTGCTGGTACAAACTCTTACTCCTACCAGGCCCACCTTTGGTGTCAACCACACTGTTGTTCCACTAAGAGATAACTGACAGCACAAACAGTTTAAAGGTAAGTCTGTCTGGGATTTCGTGGCTTATTTTAATTCTTCAGGTACCAGTTCCTCAAATCTCAAATCAGAGTTCAATGACTGTATCAAATTCATGTATTTCCATTAATATTCCAGTGACACTTCTAAAATATAACCCTCATTACAAAAAAGTACCTTGTTTAAATGCCTACTTCCTGGTAACAGAAATATAGAGTATTATGATTTTTTAAATGTTTACACTTAGTATGTGAGGATTTCGGTGGGGGGAAAAGTATGGATACATGTGTTCAATGTCTGTAAACAAATAGTGTCTTTAAAAAAAATAAAAGAAACTGACATCCTTAACCTTTTGTACTCTTTCAAAATCACACCATGTTTTTATTACCCAAAAAATGTATATAAAACTTTAAAAATAAACTACTTTGATAAGATCATACCCCCATTATCGAAACTTAGACTTAACCACTCTTAATCAAGATAAAGTAAAAATTGGCTTTTAGATGAGAGATTATCCGTTCTTATGGAACATAAAGACCAACAGTACTTTCTGAAAGAAAATTGATGGAAAGGTCATAAAGGGTTTCAAGATCTCTAATGTCCTATCTTTCCCAACTTAAAAAACAACAACAACAACAAAAAAAACCCATAACCAGGTATTTTAAGGCAGTTTGGGACCTTCTGAACTTTGGATAAGTTTTTATATAAAATATCTTAGATTCAGCAATACTGAAAGATATTTGTCACAAGAGAAATATCATATTGGTGTATTTCCCCAGATAGATCATTCATTTAAAGTAAAAGATGTTTTTCTCCAGGTGATGTCTCAGAGCCTCCCCCTTAGTGAAATCTTCAATAGTATAGTAATCTACAATTCCATGTACATTTGAGGAAGCATCCTTGCTTCTTTCAACTTTTGCTCAGCTGAAATGATAGCCCAAAACATCTCCTTGTGATACAGCTTTACATGTTACAGCCCATGTGATCAAAGGCCAGTAAAGAACCTAAACTAAGACAAGGACAGAGCTAGACAGAGTGTTTCTGTGTTGCTCTAGTTTTAGAGAAACAGCATTTCTCTAACTAACAAATGCTAAAATGAAATACCCACAACTTCATGGAGGAAAACAGACCCCAAAAAGTGGAAGGCTGGTTTCTAACCTGTGGCCTCACCTGCCGAAGCAGTTCTTGCTGCTTCAGTCGCAGTCTCTCTTTCTCCATCTGTAGTTGCTGCAGCCGCATCTGTTGCTGCTGGTTGGAGTTGCCACCACCCATGACTCCTCCCTGAGGGCTCTGGGGAGCCAGGGGTGGTGGCTGTTTCACTGGAGCACTTTGACTGATTCTCTGGTTCATGGCTGAAATGAAACAAAAGATCTGTCCTAAAAAACTAGGAAAAAGATATTTAGTTATTCTAAGCAACTGGGGATATTCAACACGAGTAGTCTTTTCTGTAATAAAACTGGAAATAACCTAAAAATCCATCAGTAGAACAATAGCTGTGTTAACTTATTACTACTGTTACAGTCATGTTGTTGTTACAAGTTGCAAGTCAGTCATAGAGAAAAGAAACGAGGTAGCTCCAACAGGCAATGAATGAAAAGGAACTGTCTAGGACATATCAAGTTAAAAGCAAAGTGCAGAGCAAAGAGTGTAAAAAAAAAAAAAAAAAATAGGAGAAATGTACATGACATGCATATCCAGAAAATATGAACTTAAGGACAGCCAAGAAACAACTAATATATTTTAGTTCTGGAGCTGGGAAATGGGGTGACTAAAGGACTGAGTTGAAGAGAGACATTTTTTTGTAACTTTTAAGTCTGAATGGTGTGAATACATTGCTTATTACAAAACAGAAATATATACATCTCCTGCCCTGGCTGGGTAGCTCAGTTGATTAGAGCATTGTCCCGTATATCACAAAGGTTTCAGGTTTGATTCTTGGTGGGGGCAAGTACAAGGGGCAAGTACAAGAGGCAAGTGATTGATGTTTCTCTTTCATGTCAATGTTTTTCTCTCTCTCAAATCAATAAACATATCATCAGGTGAGGATTTAAAAATATATACATCCTAAATATACACACACACACACACACACACCTCTATTAAAGCAAGTAGATTAAAATGATCTGATGCATGCTAATAAGAAAATAAGCCTACAAACATCTGGGTGGCAGATATCTGTCTCATTCAATACCATGATACCTCATCCAGCCCAGGTAGTCACTTTTTTTTTTTAGTTGAACTTGTATTATACCATTTCACAGTAAGAAATGGATTTGATTCTTATACTAGTGAATTCTAGTCACTGATACAACACTGATCAAACTGTGCATTGTGGTAACCTCAGTGAGCAGATGGAAGCTTTATTATGTGAAAATGTTAAGAATGATATATTACCTTTTCAGACATTTAATTTTTTTTAAGGTTAAATTTCGGGTCACTATTTCTCCTAAGTGTTTACTACATACTGACCAAAGAAAACCTCAGGCTAGACAACTTCACAAACATTCAAGGAAGAAATAAAACCAATCTTACACAACCTTTTCCAGAGAAGAGCAAAGAAGGAATACTTCACAATAATTTTGAGGCCAGCATAATCCTGATACCTTAACAAGGACATCAGAAGAAAAGAAAACCACAAACAATCCCTCTTATGAACCTTGCTACTGAAATTTGAAATAACACACACTGACTTTCCAGCCACAGGACGAACTCCTTGTGGTGAGTTTGGTAAATGTGAAGTCTTCTTGGAGACTTTTTAGTTTATTTGAGCAACCTCCTCAGCCTTTCCCAGAGTCCATTATGAACATTAAGAATTATCTTACCTCAGAACACTACCTCAGGGCTTTTCAATTTTGTTTTTCATCAGATTGTAATTTTTTTTTTAATTCCTCACCCAAGAATATTTTTCTACTTATTATTAGATAGAGTGGGAGAGAGGGAGAGAGAGAGAAACATCGATGTCGTAGAGCCACATCGACTGGTTGCCTCCCGCACGACCCCAGATGAACCATAACAAAGGTTTGTGCCCTTGACTGGAATCAAACCCGCTACTCACTGGTCCGCAGGCCGAGGCTCTAACTGCTGAGCCAAACTGGCCAGGGCCTGACTGTAATGTTTTATTTACAAATTTGCATACTCTCTCAGATTGAAGTGCCACAGGAGTGGGGAGAGTATCCTAAGCACATATATATCCTCAATGCCTAGCACAGAGTCTGACACAAAGTTTGTGCTAAAAAAACCACTAAAATGTTCCTAGAGTATTCACTGAGGCAGAAATTTAACTATTTAAAATATGACAATATAGAAATCCTACCAATTCCCCTTCAGACTGACCAAGTCTTCTGAGTCCAGCAAGACATTAATAAGAACCAAGAATGCTAAAAGAAAAATTACAGAGCAACCTCTCTCAGATGCCTTAGTTGAATTCAACCTACTGAGTCTTCATAAAGTCTCCAATTTTGGGGGGTCATTTTTTGGTCCTTAAGATATTTCATTAGATGTGAACAGTCAAATTAGGTTAAAAGTCATCTGAAATAATTCCTCTCTGTGTGATTCAGCCAACAACTCAGTAGATGCTTCACTTGTGACATTTGCTTTTGCATTTTAGAGACTTACTTTACTTCCCACTCACCATCCTCTCATCCCCAAGAGACAGCTGTTACCCGTTTGTTTATTCTATTCTTAAAAATCTAAGCAAACACACACCGACTTCTCAGATATAAGGTAGTATCCTATAAACATTTTACTCCATTTTTCCTTTTTCTATTTAATAATGTCCGTGAAAACACTCCAAAGTAGTGTATAGAGGTTTCCCCATTTTCTTTTGAAAATAGCTGATTAGTATACCATTCAACCAACCTTCCACTATGTGTTCACTATTACTAGAGAATGCCATACAGAAGAAGCTCACACATACACAATTTTGTATTTCTGCTACTGTATCCTTAGGGTAGAGTTCCATATTGAAGAGGTTGCAGAGTCAGTGGTTAAAACCGTAACATTGCCAAATTGCCCCCTCCTCCCCATACACATAGGGGTTGTACTCTGTTGTATCCCCACCAGTAAAATATGAAGACTGTCTTTTTATCCATCAGTCTTGCCAAACTTTTGGATTTTTGCCATTCTGAAAGATGAGAAATGGTTTTCACAGTGTGATTTTTATTTTACTGTGGCTTATTATAGGAGCTTGGTCAAGTTCCACATTGTATAGAGCCATTTGCATTTTTCATGTGAATTGTGTTTATCTTTTCCTATGGGGTTACTGATCTTTTTCTATGTTAGACTGTCTTTATGTACTAGGGATTAAAAAAAACAAACAACTTTTGTCATATGTTAAAAATAATTTCCCTCAACTTATGTCTTTTTAGTTTGCTTATTTTTTTATAAGTTTATTTTTTAAGTTGTCAAATTCATCAATATATTTTGAAATTTGAGCTATAGTTTCTCCACTCCCAGGTGACAGAATTATTCATCAATTTTTCGATTCAAAACTATATGGTTCCACCTTATTTTTATTTTATTTCTTTAAAAATTAATATTTTTTCTTTCTTGATTTTAGAGAGAAAGGAAGGGAGAGGGAGAGACAGAAACATCAATGAGAGAGAATATCGATTGGATGCCTCCTGCATGCTCCCACTGGGGATCAGGCCCACAACCTGGGCATGTGCCCTGATGAGGAATGGAATTGGTGACCTCTTGGTGTCTGGGTCGACACTCAACCAGTGAGACACACTGACCAGGCATGGTTCCATTTTATATATGTAATTCTTTAGCAATTCAATCCACTTGGAATTTACCCTGGTGTATGGCATGAAGGGTTCTAATTTTATCTTTCTTCATGACTATTAGTCCTGACACCACTCATGTAAAGTGTGTCATCTTTATCAGATTAAATTTGTTATTTTGTTTCTGGATTTTCTATCTTGCTCATTAATCTAACCACTTTTATATGAAGTACCACACTTCTAATTACAACCTTTATGTTTTAATAGCTGGTAGGACAAGCCATTCTTTTTTTTTTTTTTTTTAAGCGAATTTCTTACTATTGGAATCTAATTTAAGTGTATGTGGTTAAAATAACATGGTCTGTATACTGATTCTTGAAATTTGTGAGTTGATACATGGTCAATCCTTGATTTTGCATTAGGCTAGAGCCAGTTAGTTCTATGCATGATTTCAACCACTGAGCCTGTTTCTACCTCCTTCGTTATTAGCCTGAGTTCCTGATATCCTCAGGAGGCAAATGGCCCCTAAACCTGGCCAGCTCCTAGCTTGCCCTTGCTCACCACTATGTAGGTTTCATTTTCTGACCCACAGAGATTGTGGCCCTAGTTATGTCTTTTCAGTTATCTCTTTCAAATATTTTATCTGGCAGAACAGAGAAGGGATGTCAAAAAATGACTCACTCACTTCTCCATATTGTTCAAAGCTTTATTAATCTTTTATATGGAAAAAAGGTCAAGACTAATTTATAAAATATCTTTGTAAAGAACAAATGGCTAAAACTTTCATAATTACAGTTTATAGTTTAGTATTTTATAGGGGAACATATAGGAAAAAAGCCCAAAATCTGAGAGCTAAGATTTGCCAGGCACCATCAACAATCTCATTTAATACAATTGCTTGTATCCATCTACCTGTCACCAACATTAGATGTATGATAGACAGGCATCATAGTATGATATAAAAAACACAGCCTGTAGAGTCAAACAAACCACAACTCAAGTTGAGCCCACCAATTCAGTGATTCATCTGTGTCATCCACTACAGGAATGGGCAAGAGTAGGCTTATAGTATGTGAAGCATTTATTCCTGTACTATTTTTTATTAATTATTGTATTATTTTCCATATGAGCAACTGTAAACCAACTTTTGCCCACCACTATATAGCTGGGGATATTAAAATCTCCCTTTGTAGCCATGGTGGAGATTACGTAATTTATGTAAGGCATTTGTTATAATCCTGGAATGCAGTAGATGCTCCATAAATGTTAGTCTCCTCCCTTTAAACTTTAAGATTAGTATGCCTAAAGATAATCATCCTGGCTTGAATTCCAAAACCTCCCTTCCCCTTCTCCAGTTTTACCATGCCACTCATGGTTTCAAAGTATTCTGTGATTCACAAAGACATGTATACTTTATCTCTCCTATAAGATCTAAATGGAAGAAAATGGGTGGTGGAGATTGAGACTTAGCTTAACCCCCTTGGGGATCCTTCTCTTTTGATGAAACATGTTCCTGGCATTCCAGGACATCTAACATATTTCCCTATAGAGATGTTTTAAATACTGTGCTATGTTAAGTTTGATAATATGAATTAAATATGAATCAGGGGGCTGATGTGATTTGAGAA